TATATATATATATATATATATATATATATATATGTATATATATAATATATATTTGATATATGAAACATATTTATAATGAGTTTTTCCATTTAGGTGCTATTTAGAGTGGCGTTTACAATTTCTATTGCTGTCGAGCCGTTGTTTTCCCAGCGGCATTTCATGAGCTACTCACAGCGCCAGCTAACGAGCAACGGCGTTTCATCCTGTTTCAGTTCCACGGTGTTGCAGCTTCATTTGTGGCAAGTGGAACAGCTACGCTGCGCCAAAGCTTCAACTGAACTTGTACTACTAACCCACTTAGAGTCGCATTCAATCCACAGGATGCGTACCGTAATGCACGCCTAACTGCAGTCACGAGTCCGCGACTCCTGTCGAGGACTGCAGGACTCGGCTCGGTACCGAAGCTTTAGCCGAGCGTCGACCTGAAAACGATTTGGCATTGGACTGGCGTCAGGTTCGAGCGTGTTTGATTGAGCTTCGAGTGTCTTTCACACATGTTGCGCAACATTGTTGCCCAGTTAACGCTCAGTTGCTTGGGCACATGTTGCCCTAGCCCTGGCTAATTTATGGTTACAGTCTGCTATCACATGTTTAGTAGAACGCTGATAAGCATACTCACCCGTTCGACTAATTTATGTTATAAGCAGTTGACTAGCCAGCTATTAATTAGCCTAACCCGACTAACCCAAAAGTCTTTTTGATATAATCTGACTGCCGATTCTCTGATAATGCTTTTTATAATATATGAGTCCAGTTGCACGCCGAGGTGGGACACAGCTTATCTGCTTTTGCTCAACCTTCTCCCAAAGACTTCTGAGCAAATAACTTCAAGTATTTCTTATCGCGATCCCCCGTACCTGAATGTAGTATTCAAATTCAAAAGGTGAGGGTTTAGTTTGAGCTAAAAGTGATAAAAACATTTATGAAGTTGAACAAATTTTATACCCTGAACCCATTAAAAATGGGAAATCAGGTTTTAATGGTTTTGTTAAAATATATTTAACAGGCAGAAGGGGGCGTGGCAGACCCCACAAAGTATATATATTCTTGATCAGGGCGGCGAGCTGAGTTGATTTGGCCTTGTGCGTCTGTCTGTCTGTCCGTCCGTCCGTCCACCTGTCTGTATGTATGAGTCGATCGCGTCGATCTCAGAAGATAGATAAGAGCTAAAGACTTCAAATTTGATTTTTAAATGTCCGTATATATATAGCGCGCATATCGAGTTTATCACTGAACACGATCATTCCGATATTTTGTATCGAAAAAAACCTTATCGAAAATCAGTTATAAAATTATATCTCCCACATCTTTAAAGCTA